CTGTGTCACCTGCCCTATATGAATTCGCATAATGAATAAAAACGACAAGGAAGTTGGTCGTTTTTTCGTGAGGGAGAAAGAGACAGTTGCTCATTACGTAATAATTTACTACGGCAAGGGAACTCTAAGAGGTGGCTCAAAAATAGACATTTCCTATATTCAAAATGAAGTGAAAATTTCTTAAGACAATCCGATTGGAAATGTGTTACGTAAACTCTTCCCCACTTCTATAGAATAGGATAAATATAATCTCAGTACAGAGTACTAAAAAACCGTTCAAAAGTTCGTAGAATTACATCTAGTTTTATTGAAATCGGTTACCAGAAAGTGCGCGAAACTGTATTCATCCCCAATTTTGCCACCCTTAGAGGTGGAATACTCTCTTCAAATTTAAACGGGACCAATACTGAGGTACCCTCTTTCCATCAAAATCGTATCACAAATATCGGAGTTATCACGTAACATACATACAAATAAAACCATTTAATTGAGAACCTTCTCCTTTTTATAAGTCGGTGAAAATAAATAGAATTAAACACTGATGGCAAAATCTGTTTACCGCTGTATCTTGATAATCACATGACGTGACCAGGTTACAAATGTAGAAATACACAATAAGCTAAAGAAACTAAAAGGTGAAAGGTCAAGTAAAAAGGTGGAGCTTATGAACACTATAAAGCACAGGAAGATGTCGTACTTCAGCCGCGTCATAAGGAACAATAAGTTCTAATTACTCCATATTACGGCAAAAAAGTTGTTAAAAACAAAAAACAAAGATCTGAAACAAGAATATACCAAATTCGTAAGGTCTGCTGGTTCGTTCCGTCGCTCAGTTGAGAGAGCGTCAGGGGATCTACTCCCGATCTCCGTCCGACATCCGTCCGAAACAATTACTGTCAAATAAGTAATATTCGACAAAATTAAAAGACAAGTGTCAAGCTTCATTCGCATCACGCGTCTTTTCATTTGGCCAAGCATTGCTTATTTGGCAGTAATTGTTTCGGACGGATGTCGGACAGAGATCGAGAGTAGACCCCAGGCATGGGATGCTGAAGGCGCTTTTTTTTTATAATATCAAGTAACAGGACGAACAAGTCGCGCGCCTCATGGCAAGCTACACGCCCGTCCATAACAGTTGCACTGCCACTCAGAGCTTCAAATCGCAAGGATTTGAGGGGCACGGCCACTGCGCTCGACACCCTGAGACATAAATTGACAAGTCCCGCGTGCCTGTAATTTCACCTGCACCCTTCAAAATGGAACACAGTAATGCTAACACTACTGATTAGCGGCAGAAACAGGTAAGGTGCCAGTACTTCCCTGGACGAACTCTCACAAGGAGCTCTACTGTTACTCAGCGCATGTTCGAATTCAGCCGGATCAAAAGAATTTTTCTTAGTGTACGGTCTTTGTACCTTATAACAATTATTACAAATTAGTGGAGTAAGTTTACAAAAAAATAATTGAATATCATTATAGTAACTTAATTACAAATTACTCCATCATCCACGGCAAAATCGATAGAAAACGAAGTGTCGTAAATACACAATGTGAAACCGCAGTCCCTTCCCAGAACCTTCGTCTACTTTTAACCGACTTCAAAAAGGGAGGAAGTTCTCAATTCGACTGTGTTTTTTTGTGTTCACTCTGACATTTGTAAGCCGATTTCGATTTTTTTTTTGTTGAAAAGGTCAGGAAAATATTCCACGTATAAAAGGGCAAATTAGAGGATAAATCCTGTTTATTACATGTCCCCCTTTTCCCGTGAACCGATTTCAATAAAACTTAATAGATACACCTATTCCACACTAATTTCACAACTTTTCTAGGTGGTTTTTTTAAAATGATAATTTACATAATATTATATTAAAAACATTGACCTGTTTACAACATACCTTGACTTATTTACGTAAAAGTTCAATGTATCTTTAAAACTATTCCGATATGATATTGACACTCGCAATTTATAATGACTTGAATCTCTATGAGAAATAGATAAGAAACTTAGGGTCGTATTCCAGAACTCTACTCAATGCTCAAGTCAAGATTTGAATATGGTTTAAAGCACTCGAAATCATACTCAAGTCCCTGCCATTAGGGTCGTATTTCCAGTGCCTGTGTTTCCAGTGCAATCCTGACTTGAGCATTGAGTTGAGTTCTAGAATACGACCCTTAGATTGATATCACTGTGGCATCACAGTACATTTACTCACATATTTTGTGTCCCTGTAAAAATAAATATACATATTTTCGTTAAGAAAGAAGATATTCATAATATTAACTTTAGAACTAAGACCAAACTCATTATTTTATGAAGAACTATATAAGTTTTTACAATACGATTCCGGAGCATAATATAATATATATTATAGAGCATATGCTCTCAATATAATTAAAATTACCATTTCCTAACTATAAGACTAACATTAAAAGTATTTTAATTGAAAAGTCATATTACAACATTGTAGACTACGTGTTAGATACAGATGTATGGAAAGACAACATGAGTCTAGATTCCACACTAATATGATTCAAAATGTATTCTATATCATTTAAGTTTATTTCAAAAGAGCAATCCCTAGAATTTCTTACTCGTTCTTCTCAGGGAAGACGCCACAGTGAACGAACAGTAGCTTAAAAATGACGTTTTCAAGTGTAAAAATTTTACCTGGATATTAAATTATTGTTTTACTGTGACTTTAAAAATACAGCAATCCGTGGCGTATTGCTGTTTTTTTAAAAGTATAACCATAATGAACTTCGATATTGTTTATATTTTTTATTAATACAATGTAATATGTATTTCAGCGATTAGATATTAACAATCACCAACAATACCGCACAAGTAGTGGTCATTCTAGCGCTTTTACGTGTACTAAATAATTATCACTCATTATAAAACAAAACACTATCAATACTATAGAAAAAAATCTAATTTAACTCACTTTACCACAACGTGAAACTTACCGATAAAAACAAGAAAATCTTCAAAATTTTCTTGAGTAACTAGCACGTAACGTTTTCCTAAACACTCTTCCATTATTCCTACATACTGCCTACTAAATCAAATATCCGATCTACAATGCGTTTTATCTATAAGCGCAGACTGATAATTTTTTTATCGGAATGAACTCTGACGCAATCATGACGTATACTTTTGTGCACACAGTCAAATTTAGTTCATATGTAATCCTTGCTTTATCCTTTGTTGCCAACATTTTTATGAACTGACGGTATGAAGATGCACCTGGACCTGGAGGTAAGCGACGCGCCCGTCCATAAAAGTTGCAGTGCCACTCAGAGTTTTAAATTGCAAAGATCTGAGAGGCACTGCCACCGCACCCGTCACCCAGAGACATAAGTTAACAAATACCATGTGCCTGTAATTTCACTAGCACCCTCTCACCCTTCAAAACCGGAACACAGTAATGCTCACATTACTGCTTGGCGGTATTATTATTTATTTAATATATAAAACTTACACTTCTTATACATACAGTCTTCTAAACTACATAACATATAATTTGACTCCAGAATCAAGTGAGGCTCGCTGTTCCAAATACTAAAATGATAAAACTTCACTTGCAATGAGCGTACACTCTTTGCATGCGATAATTATTATATCAAAAATTGGTTAAGTGATATCTTTCAGATACACAAAAATAAAACGATAATGAATAAGGTTTTAAATTTACTTTTATTACTTGTCTATCAAATGTCAAATAGCCTCGAGTTTACGGTTTTTAAAATCTTATCTCCGTAATGCTAATCTACGAATAAAATATTCCACGACTTTGTATCATAATTATTGTTAACTATACACAACAAGGAGCCACACTATTATATACCATGATTATTAACAGCTAGAATATAATATTTTTGTTTTATTTAATACTATGATGTGTCTACTACCATGTTATTCATATATATATTTTTTAAATACTGCTCTAGTTAATAATAATATTATTTATACCAAGATTTAACTCGAACCAGCGTCTGTTGCCACACAAAGTCCATCGCTCTTACCAACTGAGCTACAAACAGAGATAAACCTGAGTATTTCACAAATTTTGTTTTTTATACAGAACGAAAATTACAAGAAGATCACTCTTATAGAAATCAATTTTAGGTTATTACTCGATTAATACAAACAAAAACTTCATTGTAAAACTTTGTTTTCTTTCTACTGTTATCGACTTTACATCTATTATTCATTTGGATAGCAACCCCTTGCAAATAATAAGCTATTTGCAAGAATGATACCTTAGATTTTATTTCGTCCTTGATTATCTCATTTAAAAGATTAAGTCCTAAATGAAGTGTTCAATGCAATCAATTTATTATAATCCATTTATAATAATTGACTGTCGGATGCAAAATGATTAAACACTTTACTTTCATTGTACACGTGTACGGCGAGTCTACACAGATGTAAAAGTATCTTCCGCAGTTTCAACAGTGGCAATGTCGCGAACAGTGAACCATGTACGTCTCGTAATATGCAACAGCTGGCTTTTTATCTTTTGCTCGTGTTCAACTTGCAAGTTAAAGTATAAAAATTAATACAAACACATTGCATGCTCTTGTTTATGACATAATAGGATTGAGTTCTTTAATTAAATTTGACCACCAACCTTAATGATGTGGGTATATTCTATTTGCGCCGCTTCAATTTATATGGTGAACGGCTATGAAGAAAATTCACTGCCAGCAGACGTTTTCCCTGAACGATATACATTGGGTCTTTTTAAGGCGAGGGTGCGTATGCATTATTTTGGTGTCCATGCTCCATCGTCGACCTCATTGTCACTTTCCATCAGGTGAGATGAATGAAACCTATTTAAATGACAATTTATCTATGCTTTATTATCTGTACTTTTTTAATCCCTTGGTTTTCCGTTGTTATAAAAGTCCAAATATTAACATAAAAAAAAACTTTCGTGTAATGTAGTAAGTTACTTTTTTTACTTCAGTATATGCAACTATACATTTAATTTCAGGCGAAAAAAGCATATATGATGTACCTGGCCTAGACTGCGGTGACAACGCCAGCTTGAAGCGTCCTGAAACTATGTCGGATAGCGAAGTTATAGAAGGTAAAACTGTATTTTTTGTAATCATAACTCTGAATCAAGAAACTATCACTTTTACCAGGGTTTGAAATTATCAACATATTTATTTTCTTCGACAATTATCTGTCCTAGTTCATAGCTTTGTCTCTTTAATTTTGACTAAAACAATGAGAAAATTAAATAAACCCGAAGAAAACTTTGTGAGTTTTTTGAGATTGACATTTCACACGTTTGGATACGTTTCTGATACAAACATTGCAAACAACGACATTTATAGAGGCAGCCTTTTTTGCTCCAATTAATTTTATAAATATGAAAATAATGTATCAAAGTCATTATGAGGAAGATAATTATCGTGATCATTATCATGAATTATTTATTAGACTATTATATTAGTCATTAGACTAGTTTTATGATAGGCAAAAGTAGTAGAAAGGTAAGTTGTAATTCTAGATCTAGGCAATTCTAAGCTCATGCATTGCTTACGAGTCTCTATTTATTTGTCGCATATTTTCAAATGCGCGCAAACTAATGGTCCCGAATATTAGACGCCCATCGGGACGCACCTTTATAACACCGCAACAACGTATCCAAGATGGCGGCGCGATGACAATGACGCCATTACGGGATTGCTCTCCCCTAATGAAACGACCCCTTGGTTTCGAATAATGCTCACAGAGATAGCACGTAGCCTACGTCATAACCTTTTAACATTTTTAGTGTTCCGTACCGAAATTGGCAAAACTTCAACTTTCAATGTCGTCCATCTATTACAAACTAGACACATAAGTAGACAACCAAGACAGTGGAATAACATGATAACAATAATAATTTAGTTTTAATTGATTCATTTATTATCTATTTTTTTTTCAAAGTTTAGATTTACAGTAATATTGTCAATTTTAAGCATAGCAATGATTGTATTACGAGACTCCGCTTTTCTAAAGTCATATCTACATAGTACAAGTAATTTATAAACTTCATATTAATTTATATAAACTGTACAATTATTTATTTATTGAGATTTGTTGTGAAATAACGCCACTAGTTTTATTATGATTATGAATTCAAAGATCGAACAAACAGACAAATTTCCTCAGTCAGAACCCCGATTCTAAACTCTTCGATATTTTAACCAAATCGTTCGATTGGATATCGTACGCGAATCGAAGGGCGCTTTCAGAGTTATTCAGAAAATTCTGAGTTAAACGTTCGACTTGGACTCGGATACGATATCCAACAGCGTTTACGGAGTTATTCTGTTAAATAGAATATAAGAAAAAAGAAAAAAAAATTTAAAAACATTTTTAAGACTTTAAAGGTCTAAAATATAGGAATGCATTAGTCTTGCATTAAAATAAATTAATAAAATTGAACGAAATCCAGACTTTATTTTAAATATTAAGAGATTTCCATATTACATTCTTGCTTTGTAAACAATAGGACGTTCGGTAACTTTCATTCGATAACTGTGTTGTGAATAACGTTTGTAGCCTTTGCCGGTCGAAAAGTTCGACTAATCTTACGGGTGTGACGTCATTTCGTTTCGGTTTCGAATACGACAGTTTGACGCTCGATTTGGGTGTTTAGAATAAAAATGAAAAGAAATCGGTCAAGAACTGAGTTATCGTAAGGTTATGAATTGACCCCCAGGTGGGACTTGAATACGGACGTGGGGTCCATGCTGCACCGTAGCATTGCTCTAACCATCTGAGCTACGGGTACAGTTACCAAGTCGTAGAAATTATTCTACGTACTTTTTTATGTATCTTTGTACAGACTTTTCGGCATTCGTCGCCGCTAGTGATATCTAGTGGGAGATTTTTTAATAAATTTCTCACCGCAGCCGATACCTTTACAGGTATCACAACTGACACATTTGACTGATTTTTGTGAAATAAGTACTTTTCGAGTTCTTAGGTAGACTGTACCACCTCAGTCAACCGTGACCATGGGACCTATAAAGGGCCCGAAACGTCGGTTTGTTTGAAAAAACAAATATATGCGATTTAAATCCGGAAAAATAGTTTCATGTCCTATAAATACTTTTGTTATGATAATGAGTACAAAGAACTAATTCAGAAAAATTTTTCTCACATAAAACAAAATAATCTCAACAAAAACGTCTTTGTCGAGTTCTTAGGTTTTCGCGATTGTTACCCATAGGAAATGAAACTATTTTTCCGGATTTAAATCGCGTATATTTGTTTTTTCAAACAAACCAACGTTTCGGACCCTTAACAGGTCCCATGGTGACGGTTGAAAAACGTCTTTAGCTTAAACCTAGCAAGTCCCATGCAAATTATCTTTTAGAAGTCTGTCAGTTGATTAATAAAACTGATATAATGGTGGCGTGTGATGTTAACATGTAACAGAAGAATACGGACATTTCTCCACTACTCCTATTATTTCCTGCCTTCTTAGAAATCCATAATTAATTAAACCCTGTCCTCCACTACAGTACGAAGATTTGTATAAATTTCAATGACAGGCTAACGAAATAATCGAATGACTAATCAACAGATTCTCCTTACAAGAACGAAGTGACGATCCACAAACGCCGGCGTCACGGCGAGCTGGGCGAATGTTCCAAAAATGACAGCCCGACGTATACTCCTACTAGAACACCCACCAAAACACCAATGACTACGCCTGAGAAGACTTGTGAGCAAGAAACACCGCCACATTTGAGGTAAGATCTCAAAACCCATGCACTAAAATTGTAATCTGCAAAGCGTGTACACATTTTACTAAACTTGAAGTAATATACAACTTGTTTGCGTAATATATTACAAACTCGAATTTTTTTTCCGAAATAATGTTTGTTCGAATTTTCATTACACCGAAAACCGAATTATAACGAAGCCGTTGTTCTTTCAGGATATGTTGTATGTTTGTCGCAACGACACGATCAGATTCGGTTAGGTTAGGTTAAGTTAGGTTTAAAAGAAAAAACATTTTCCTCTCAAAATTACTTTCGAGGTTATGAAAATTCGAGCAAACGTTATTTCAGGAAAATGTCATTTCGAACTACTGATAGGTAACCGCTTGTTTGACAATTGACGTTGCACCCGTGGAACGGAATGAAAGCGAGTTTTGGTAGAAACAGTACATAGCATAAATTAATTTTATGTCAATTGTATAACGTGTAATCTAGATGTGATACTTTAGCTGCGGCATTCCTGAGACAGCGCGAGAATTCTGCCTAAGACATGCGGCCTGTGGTCTGCCTCGTATCTATCATATGAATCATAATTAGATGTCTGAAATGTAAACAAAGGGGTTAACAGAAAACACATTTTAAATGGTAGTTTTCTATTTTAGACGACAATAAACTTTTAGAATTCTATTCAAGCTGTAATCTGATAAAATTTGAAAAAATCAGATTTCGCAATTTATTTTTTTAATACAATAATTATAATAAAAGGCTAAAGATCGTAAAAATAATTTTATGACACTGGTAACATAATCGTGATCAAAAACATTTTTTGTGCCGCCATTTTATTGTGTCATTGAAGTTATTCATAGTGTTCTGTGTTTGTTCTTGAACTCGAAACGTTTTCTTGTCTCCGTAGTGCGTTTGTTAGAGTATTGGATGTCGTTGTTAAAGTTTTTGTTTATTTGGGTGATATTTGTAATAGGCAATTAAAATTTTTGAAAATAAAACTGTTTTGCGGCCTTCATTTATTATTTTATTTTTATTTTTATTTTTATTACTTTCTGTCCAAAGCGTTGGTAGCCCAGTGGAAGAACGGTTGCTTCTCAAGTAAGCGGTCGACGATTCGAATCCCTGTGGTGGCACGGACCTATGACTATAATTTCTAAGTTTGTGATTATTTAATAGCTGCACCTCACACTATCGGTGCAGGAAAAATTGCCTTATTCTTCTGGCATTAAAACATATTTATACACTTTTATCTCTTTCTTATTCTTTATTAATACTTTTTTCGTTTGTTTTGGATTTTTAATTACTTATTTATTGGGCAAGCATGAGTGTGGGGGGTTTGAGTCTCATAATGGCCTAACTACTATAATAATAATAATAATAATAACGCACACACGCAACATAGCCCTGCACTAGGGAAACCGTGTGTCGCGGGTGCCATGGACATTATAGACAACCACCAAAATACACCCAAACTCACGAGAAAAATAAATGTAGGCCATACAAATATTTCTCCCGGCCCGGGAATCGAACCTGGGAACTCTGGGATGGAGCATGCACGCCTAAATAATGCCTATTCACTGTCGCCTTGAAAAGGTCCAAGTTATAACGTTCAGGGAACAAGTCGGCAAGCAGGGAATTCCACTCCATAGCCGTTCGCCATATAAATGTGGACGCGTTGTGGACACCTATGTTGTGGATCTTCTAACGATTCGCACGAAACGTTGGAAGATCCACAACATAGGGGTGGAATCCAAGCCTACGTCTAGTCCCTCGATGATGGAAAGGGGAATTGTGGGAGCCCTTGTGATTGGAAATAAATGGTTAAATAGGTACACTGTAGTTATACTAACAAGTAAAATTTTTTAGCAAAACATTAATTTAGCGGTTTAAAGGTTATGTCTCAGCAATGTCCGACAAAGAACATAGGTGAAGACATTTTCATCCACTCGTACAGTCAAGAGCACATCAAGCTTGACACTTTGTACTTTGAACCATTCTTATCGCAAGGGGCATAGAGTTTGAGTTCACTCTCAAGTGTCAAGCTCGACGTGCTGTTGACTCTGTACAATATGTTGATACGTAATGTGAGACGAATAAAATCCAATTTGTTTGCTTCTTATTTATTTTTGTTGATATAACTTAAGGTATTTATTTATATGTATGCATGCATGCGTTTTTATGCAGTATTTTTTTGCTATGCAGAAGAAATGTAGGTAGCTTACGAGATTACAGACGGAGATATTATCCACTCTATGTGTATTATTTCCTTGAAGTAATAATGGTCAAATAACTAATATTGTAATGTATGAAATGCACAATATCCAGGAGTAGATAGCTGTAGACTTACCTACATCTCTTCTTTGCTTAAGAAGCTATGACGTGGATATCTTATGCTTATTATAAGTACCTGTTGCATGACAATTCTATGGTACAATAAGAGAAAGAGCATAATTCCATATAAACATAGCAACACGGCTTGTATGTGTGCACGCCCGCCGCGCGCCGTGTACGGACGCACACTTTCGCATAATCTCGCGGTGCACTCGCATTGCAAAGGGCGGATCGCGCACGCCATTCATTATAGAACTGAAGCGAATGCTCGGTGTTTGCAAAATGACATCAAATAGTAGACGTGTTTATTGTTGTGTTTGTGGATTTTTCTACAAATGTGTCTCGAATTGATAATTGTTCAGCATTTCATTTATATTTGCATAATCATACTCCTTAATCCGTATACCAAACCACGATGCTGATATAAAAATATCAATACGTACTTATGTATTAATATTTTTATATCGCATATTACTGTATTACTTACTTATTTATCCAGGATATTCCATGCAGAAAACACCACACATCAAATAAATATTGAACATGATGGTGGCACTTCACATGGCTATTTGTATTTGCGTATTTGAAAAGCAGCGAAACTTATTTCAATACAGCACGAGAATAGTTATGAACGCCTTAATTTTTTCATCAAACTAAAATAATGATGTGACAACCCTACGCTCAGAGCGAAATGTACACATTGACGCGCTGAGCAGGCGGGAGTTGCACTACTTATTATCAACCGACTTTCGAAAGAGGAGGAGGTTCTCAATTCGCGTATTTTTACTTTTATATATATATATATATATATACATTTTATATATATATGTGTGTATGTATATGTTACGCGATTACTCCGGCATTTGTGAACCGGTTTTGATGATTCTTTTTTATTGGGAAATGGGTACCTCAGTATTGGTCTCATTTAAATTTGAAGAAAATATTCCACCTCTAAGGGTGGCAAACTAGGGAATGAATCCGGTTTCACGCACTTTCCGGTAACTGATTTCTATAAAATTTGGCAAATAGATGTAATTCGACGAACTTATGAAGTCGGTTTTTTTTATAATACTACATGGTAATTCCGTGACTAGCGTAGTTACTTACTTGCCAGAATGTTCCCCACGAAGCCATTTACTCTCATGGTTGATTCCAGAAAACTGTCCAGCCTGATTGACAACTTGCATCTCAGGACTTCTATGCACATTGCTTGCAGCCTCCCCATCATATACTACGGCGCGCGTACGCATAAACAACTGCAGCAGGTGATAAAGGAGTTTGGAAGAACAGCATATTGCGGTGACGCGAAGATGACAGTACTTGCTAGCCGGGATTATAGCTGTATAAGGGAGTTCGATAAACAGATGTGGGGCACTAAGAATGATATGTGCAGAGGATGTACCAAAGTGAGCACATAACTATGTACGTTTAAATACAGAATATATTGTAATCATGTTAGTGTTTTTTTTACATACTTATTTATGTATGTATGTATATATGTGTACCTATGTATACCTTATATATATTTTATGTCTTTTTTACGTTTTTTTTTTTCATGTACAACTTACGCTTGACCAAAATAAATATTATACCAAAATTGTTTTCACAAAAAAAGATTTCATTTTCTTTGTTATTAAATCTATTTATTTCGTAATGGTCCTAAGACAGTTTCGCTGTATCACCTATAGTTTTGGATTTCCCCTATAATGTCCCCGTTAAGAAAAATACACTGCATACAAGAAGGTCTAAAGAAAGCACGATAATATTTCAAATGGTAATAATATACTAAACACTTACGAGGGATGTGTGGGCGGAGCCCTAGCGTTGCGAAACGCGGGAAAACTAAAATCCGTTCCCCACCGTAGCAGACTCGTAACGAGAAATCCGCTTTTTTGTAGGTCCTCGATTCTACAAACACCTCTACCCACAAACGTGGTAAGGCTGATTACACCATAGATATAGGAAAGACTACACTAGAATTTATATAAATTAATAAATTTATCAGTGTATTTATTGAGTATAGTGGCATTCAATATTTTTATTTATTTTTATTGCCAACCCAAAAACCAACTTTCCTCTCATTTTTTCAAAAGTTAGTTGGAAGAAATCCCTTTATGGGGTAAGCTCGCCTTTGTGCACTAGTATTTTAAATTGTTTCATAAAATTTGTAATTTACTTACTTTTATCTTTGACTGTTATTCCGCGTTTCAGAAAATAGCACCTAAGGACAAGACCAAGCCTCGATCAACGGAAGAAACCAACTGCGTATTCTACGATAACCGTCTGGCAATGGACCACAATAAATTGCCACCAGCGTTCGACCTGGAAGATTTGGTCTCTGTGGGACAGGAAATTAAAGCCTGTCCGTTCTACGGTGCTAGACAAATGATGCAAAATGCCAACATTGTGTTTTGCCCTTATAATTACTTAATTGAACCGAGCATTAGAAGTAGCGTAAGTAAATTTTTAAACTTTCAAATATATTGCACTCCATTTTAATAATTCTGTAATCCAATAGACATATATGTCGGAGGATGGAATAATTCCCCTTTCCATCACCGGGGGACTAGACGTAGGCTTGGATTCCACCCCTATGTTGTAGATATTCCAAAAATTCGCACAAAGCTATAGAGTGGAATTCCCTGCCTGCAGACTTGTTCCCTGAACATTATAACTTGGGCCTTTTCAAGGCGAGAGTGAATAGGCATTATTTAGATGTGCATGCTCCATCGTCGACCTCATCGTCACTTTCCATCCGGTGAGATTGAAGACTCATTTACCTAATGAGTTTCCAGGGATGGATGACACTTATTTCGTCGCTATTTAAAATAAGTCCTTATTGTCTTTCTCTTACAGATGGATATCGACCTACAAAACAATATCGTGATAATCGACGAGGCGCACAACATCGAAGACATCTGCCGCAACGCAGCCACGTTCACCTTCCAAAGAAACCAATTCGTGGACTGTATAAAGGCACGTAATTAAATGTGCTTAACAGTTGCAATGCATTCAGAGCTTTAAATCACAAAGATCTGCGAGTCACTGCCACTGCTCCCGTCACCCTTGTAATACATAAATTAACAAGTCCCATGTGCATGTAATTTCACCAGCACCCTTACCCTTCAAAACCGGAAAACAGCAGCCGGAAAATGCTGACATTACTGCTTGGCGGCAGAAATAGGTAAGGTGGCAGTAATACCTTAGACGAACTCTTTCACAGGGTGCTCTACCGCTACTGATCATGATCAAATTCACGTTCCATTGAAATTGTCTTCCTTTTGTGAATTATGTATTACTTTTTAACCATGTAATAGAAAGAGAGAAAACGAGGGTTTCGCAATGAGCTCACACAACTATATTTGTCACTTTCGTTCGCATGATCACTTCCATAAACTTCTCTCTTTCTATTTATTGGCAATAACTAATTTACTGAATCTACATTCGTTTCTAGAGAATAAATTAATATTTTTCAGGAGTTAGAACAAGTGACGGCGTACCGGTACACAAATGCCACTAAAGATGTACTGCCATACCTCGACCATTTGTTACAAACTTTACAGATATGGGACCGATGGTAAGGAACACAAATAACACTTTCATGTTGTACTCTACTGTAATTTTATTATTTGGGCATACTCAGACCAAACGAGAATGATTTCATTATTCTATCCGAACTTGCATTGGATCAGGGTGGTGGGCTGATCCTAAAATTTTTTTATGATATCAAGTGACGGGACGTACAAGTCGTACGCCTAATAGTAAGCTACACGCCTGTAATGTGGAGTAATATCTAATTTATGGGTATAATAAGCATGTTAAATTTAAAAATAATAAAGAACTTGCCGAATATTCTCAAATCTGCCAAACTTTGCCACATTTAATATAACTTATCATGTTCTGCAGCAATGAAAATGAATAAAAATTAAATCTACCAAAATGACAGGAATCTGTCACAAATGGTCACACTGTTCTCAATATCAATGTGACATTGACATTGGCAAGAGGTCTCTTGTCAAAACGTTTCTTTTCAACTTTCATTATTTCTCATTGAAATATTGTTTAAATACTTTTGTCTTTTGTTTATTTTTTGCTTTATATCATTACTGTTTAATTGATTATTTTATTAGGTATTTTAAAGCTGTAATATTTTATGTGTGTACTATAAAATAACCAATACTCCAGGTAGGTAAATATTCAATCATGCTTAAAATGAAACGTACGTACAAGAACGTTACCTAATCTATGATCGAACTGAATCAATTGCGTTGTGTTCTTGCATCTAAGTATTGTAAAATACAATTTTTTATACAAAAATATATTGATAACTAAGCATAAACTAAAAACGCAAAATCATACTAGTAAAGTCCATGAACGAACCTTCGTCGTTATTGGGGCAGCTTTCGCCATCTTTCTTTTTTGTGCTAAATGTCGTTTAACAAGAACAGCAACAATATAACTTTTTTTAAAAACAGACCTCAAAAGTTTGCTTATTAGCCTTTTATTGGAATTGCATCTATTGGCCAAGTTTTATTAAACTCGGTTAACGGAAAGTACGTGAAACTGGATTCATCTCGTAGTTTGCCACCCTTAGAGGTGGAATATTTTGTTCAAATTTAATTAGAACCAATACTAAGGTACCCTCTTTCCAACAAAAAAAAAAGAGTCTTCAAAATCGGTTCACAAAGCGAGTGATCGCGTAACATACACACAAAAAATACAATCAAATTGAGAACCTCCTTTTTTTAAGTCGTTAAAAATAGTACTTATTACAATAATATGGATTTATATTGTAGGTTCGAGCACCAAAAGCCACTATTGGACAACAAGCCTGTGAACAACAACGAGGCGCAGCAAGTATGGGAGATAGACCATTTTATCCTCACCCTGAACAACCATAACATCGGTGAACACCAGTACATGGGTATTCTCTTAATTTTTAATTAATTTATTCCTTTCATCGGTTAACGAATTGCACGTGAAATAGTCAAATTTACTACCTAAAGATCAGAAAAAATCGTCAATAATAATAATAACGCACACACTCGACATACAGCCTCAGCAAACATTCCCTCAGTTTCGTATGAAAAACGTATTTTATGAGCATTGTAGGATATGTTATTTACTAAGTAAAAATCGCGTTTTTAGCGTTCAACCACAGCGTGGATGTATTCAGCCAACATTTCCGTGACCAACCAGATAAACTGTACGGCGTTACGCAGACCACAGCTACTCTTCTCGAGAATTTGAACACCGTCTACGGTAAGTCAATTAGTCTGATGTAGCATAGATGTAGTAGTCACTAGATGTGCCAATGTTAAATCCAACACACAGACACGTATCGGTGTAAGCTAATAATGAAAGTGTAAGATAACGTAAAGACGCACGTATGAACTCGGTATAAATAAGTTTCCCAATTATAATGATACCTCCAATGAACATAACGCCAACTTTATTTTTTTAGCCCATTTCTGTTATTTTTGTTAACAGTCATATTTATTTACTAATATTATGCTCTCCGAATTTTGTGAAGGTTACCAATCAGGAATCCGAAATGACATTTTCCAGATATAACGTTTGCTCGAATTTTCAGAACCTCGAAAGTAATTTTCGGAGGAAAATGTTTTTTTTTATCTAACTTAATCTAACCTAACCGAACCTAATCGTGTCTTTGCGCTAGACGCCCAACATATCCTGAAAGAACAATGGTTTCATTATAATTCGGTTTTCGGGATAATGAAAATTCGAACAAACGTTACTTCGGACAAAATAAATTCGATTTTGTCATAGGTTTACTTTTTGTGAAATAAATAATGAAACAAAAAACAAAATAATAATAAATAAATGTTTATTTCAGTAATACAATCGTCTTTATATTAACAGTGGATAGGACCTCCTATTAAGCTTAACAAGCCTGTGTCAGGAGACACCGCTCTTCCATAAATGCCTTTTCTTTTTTTCTCAAAACAAACAGTTCATTCTTAACTTCTAATTTTAAATTAAATTTGTTCTTAAAACGTTAACAGAACAGGTCCAAAAATTAAGTTGGCGAGTGTTCATTGAAGGTATCGACTATTATATTATAATAAATAAGTTTGTCGAATTGGGTTCCTTTTTAGTCGCGGAACTTCCTAAAATACCCGGCGACATACCGGTATTTGTCGCTACTCACAGCAGTAGCTAATATCGCGTCTAAACAGGCCTTACTTCACTGGGTTCGCGGAATAGCAAATATAATTTACTTCTATTTTAATGAACACGGATTTCCACAAAGTCACATCTGGAATTGTTAATTATTTGAACATGAATAAACATTGCCGTATGTTCACAGGTTACTTATTCCAGAATTCAGGATTGTACAAAGACGACTTTAAGGCCGTGCTAATAAGGAACTTGTATGGCAACTGGGAGACGTCAAAAGCGACAAACTGGCGAAGATCACAGTTTGATAAGGTAACATACGGCGCAACTAATGCAATTATAGTACCGGCACGCTATTATGGCCATTTTGACGTTTGTTCGCTCATCAAGTTTCGTATTAATTCATAACTACGTTGAAGGAGTTAATTGTGTACATTATTGTCAATAGTGACGTGCTGTAAAATTTATGGATATATAATTTTTCGACACAACTCGGCAGTTGTTTTTCGTAATTCGAATTTTTAACAAATGAAATCTAATACGATCATCACTAATAGGATGGTCTGGCCTGGAGGTGCTGGCCAGGACAACTTCTACCTACGGCATACTCACAAACGAACAAAAAACAGGAATTACATTTATCCTAACGTCCTAACTAATGTGAATCGGATGCAAACAAAACGTGGGCAAAAGAAACCGGGGGCATAACGAACGGACCCACTATACACACCAAAGATTTAATGCACTAAATAAATCCTATTGTTTTCCAGGGAATAGGAAGAGAAACTCTATCTCTCCGTCTCATGTGCATGAACCCGGCAGTGATATTCGAAGGGCTTAAAACGGCGCGCTGCATTATGCTGGCATCAGGCACCTTGACGCCTCTACATAGTATGCACTCTGAACTGGCAACAGAATTTCCATTACAAACTAGTCCGAATCACGTTATATCTGCTGATAGAGTAAGAAGACATTTAAATTATGTTTTATGTGTTTTCCAGTTTACATCTTTTTTTTTATTATTAAGAGTTTTACCGATGGGTCGTGAAAGAAGCTAAAATTTTGCTTACCATGTCTGAATTGTAAATGTTACGACGTTCTAATGATTACTAATCGCGTTATTGCCTTCATTATTCTTATTTTGACAGTCGGTCCACTATTTTCTAAATCTTTTTTTATTTATATACAATTTTGTGTGTGATGTGTCTGTGTTGTTCGATCTTTGTATCGATAATAACTTATACGAATATTTTGTACTGTCTAACTTACTCACCCTTAGCACCCGGTCGAGGACAAATATTTGAAACAGAGTAACATTCAATAAATAAATAAATCCAGCCGGATCGAAGTAGTTTTTCTTAGTGTTCGATCTTTGTAGCCTTATAAACTGCCTCCGTGGCCGAACGGTCCCAGGTTCGATTCCCGGGGATTGCCGGGGCTATGTTGAGTGTGTGCGTTATTATATTATGTAGTAATAATTATAACAGACTAGTGGAGTAATTATAACAAAAAGATCGAACACAGAAAAACATTTTCGACATGATATTGCTTTTATATACCAACTGAAGCTGCGGCTGCAGTGAAGAAGGTTCTGAAATCTGTCACTACGTGTCACTAGTGGCTCAGAATGCCGAAAGGTCCAGTACAAAGATACATAGGAGAATTTCGACAACTCGATTAGTTGACCCGTAGCTCAGTTGGTAAGAGCAATACTACGATGCAGTATGGTCGTGGGTTCAAGTCCCAAAAAAGCTTTCTATGTGTTAATAATGATAATAAAAACTAATGGAGCTATTTCACAAAAAAATGTCAATAATATAGTGGAATAATTTTTAAAAAATGATTGAATATCATGGTTGATATTCAATAAACTTGATATTGAACCGTTCAATACATTTTAAAATTACAGGTGTGGATAGGAACTCTTACAACTGGTCGCAACGGTACGCCTCTGTTATGCAACTCACGAGGTACCGAACAGTCCAGTTTGCAGGACGCCATAGGCGAGGCTATACAGTGGGTGTGTGAGGTGACCCCACACGGCGTACTGTGCTTTTTACCCTCTTACGTGCTCATGCAGAAATTGTGTAAACGGTAAGTATTTTTATTTACTTTACAGACTATATTGTTGTCACGGGTGTACACTATAATACACTATAGGATAAGTAGTGTAACTTCCATACGAACGTAGAAGCACGGCTTGTACACGAGTACTATGTACTTAACTGCCTCCGTAGCCGAACGATTACCATGCTGGTCTGCCAGCAGAGGTCCCTGAGTTCGATTCCTGAGCCGGGAGAAATATTTGTATGGCTTAATTTATTTCTCTCGTGAGTTTAGGTGTTATTTGTGGTTGTCTATGTGTGTGCCCGTTGTACCCGCGATACAGGGTTTCCCCAGTGCATATTAGTCATGTATCATAAAATCTTAATTCAATAAAATCAATATTATAATTCATAAAGCGACATCTTTTGTCAACCTTGGATAGCTAGCAGTGGTGAAGCGTGCATATAAGTCATACCCACGGGCTTGCCTAAAATTTCCCGCTCACCTCTTAAAAAACATTTATTCAAAATATTTACTATTAGACGCGTAATAACTTGTCCCGATGCATCTCAACCAATCAGCGCGAGGTAAGCCGGCGGATCGGCGAGTTCTATTAATTATTTATTTATTTATAAAGCATTGGCTTCAGAGCCATCAGCCTAATGGTAACAAATAATCAAGAAACGCACAACGTAATTAATATACATAAACTAAACATTAATTCGTGTAAAAAATGTAACTACTAAAACCCGCCATTTTCTTGTAATCGCGAGTTCTATTTCATTCATGATATCTACGCGCTCAGTCGCGCTCCCATCAAAATATACGCACACATTCGCAAAAATCCGCTTTGTAACATGTAAAGAAATGGCGAGCGAGAAGCCGCAGTAATTCGAGTTATTATCGAATAGCGTACACTTAAATTTAAACCTTATTCCAACATATTATAGTTTAATTTGTTGTGTAAAACTTTCTTAAAATAATGTAATAATTTTTTTTTTTTCACTTTTAATTGTTTACTGTTTATTATTGTGTTGTGGTGTTATGTAATAAATGTATTCTATTCTATTCTAATAAATTAATACAAAATATGGTTAATTTCTATTTTGTAAATCTTAACGATAAATAATGTTACATATCCCTTTCCGGCCGAGGATTCATTTTTCTTTAAATTAAGTTAAAATGCCGATTAGTTGTGCACTTTTGCTTCATATACTCGGAGAAAAATATTAAAAAAAATCCTGTAAACATTGATCATCGTTAAAATTGACTGCACGATCGTGCGGTTCAGGAACTACATGCAAAGTGCACGATTGTGCAAATTCATTTTGAAAATGGTAAATGTCAATAAAACACATTTTTTACGAGATCGGTTTTGCAACTTTAATAAAATAATAATCAGCCTTGCATTTCTTATTAATAATTAACACATTTCGTATAGGAATCAAAGCAAATTCTTATATAACTAAAAAAATATCAAACTTAAAACAATAACAAACAATTTTTACTTCTTATGATAAAAAAAACAGCTTCTGGTTACGTGAGATGCATAGGTACACATTGCATTAGATGCAACGTGTCTTAGTACGGCTGCAGCAGTTTCAAATTGGCAAGCCCTTGGAGAATTCATGTCATAAAATATAGGTAAATGATCATAACCATCATACCTCAGGGATACAGACGACCTGGCAGACTTTGCATATTTCCTTGGAACTGGCATTTCACCATCTGAGGCATCACCTGCTTCTTCACATTGCCTCTTTTCTGGTACGTTAATTAGTACTTCGTGGATTTCCATACAAAAATCAAGTAAATGTAGTGTAATCTTGCAACGGGGATACTTCTTAGCCTCGCAATCAATTTTGTAAGCTCTCCGTGCATTAACTATTGCTAAATCGAAAAAGTGGATCAATACTATGAGGGTCCATTTTTTTAAACCTATAGGTTTTTCTATTTGATTGTCTCTTAATGCACGACCTAAAAACACAAAAAACATTCGTTAGAAATTAAAATATGCCAACAAAAACAACGGAAGATGTAATTATTGCATAATATACTGATTTTCGTGAAGTGGCCGAATACGCACAATCGTGCAACGTTTTTTACGAGATAAGTTATTGAAATAATATTGAGGTTATTGATCACATTTCTACTCATTTATCATAGTTGACTCATTACCTATATAAATTAACCATTAATTCACTACTCAATCAACAAAAAGTTAAAAAAATATGCACTTACGTATGACGCCGCTGCCACCAAAAAACGCCGCCATTCTGGACACTACTGTAAGGTCAACCGATGGAACAACCCCACCCGCCGCACTATATACGCGCTGCGCTGGAGTGTGCACGATCTATCGGTATCGTCCTCGTTTCGAAAAGTTGATTTACGCGCGCTCAGATTTTTTTCAAAATTAGTAGCACGATCGTATCGAGTCGGCCGGAAAGGGATAAGTGTCTATATTTAAAGGAGTGTTTCTTTCTAATAGGACTACGTAACGAATGTATGTAGAAGGTCATGGTAATTCGGAGGTAATTAAAATAGCAATACACGTCATTCATGTGTTTGTTTATATACTTTCGTTACGCGACAGGCAGTTTAAAATGTAAAATTACTTTAAAAGCCAAAAGTTATTTTATGTGTAGAATAAGTTATCCTGTTAAATGAAGTGAACTAGTTACCTTGAGTCCTAATAAGTGTTGTGTTTAAATGTCTCCAAGCGCCTTTTTAACGGGAAAAAAATTGTTGTAGAAGTGTTTTTTGTTTTTTCAAAAAGTTAAAGCTTCGGCTTTACCAACGAAAATTTTCACACCTCGCCACTGATGGCTAGTAACGTTCATAGATTTCTCACAGGTGGTGAGAAATCTAACATTTGATGACCTCCGTGGCCGAGTGGCCTGCACACCGGTAATCATGGTGTAGCCATCTCTAAGGTCCCGGGTTCGATCCCCGGCCGGGTCGATGTAGAAACAAATTGTTCCATATTGTCTCGGGTTTGAGTGTTTGTGGTGCCGTCGTGGTTTCCGATTTCCATAACACAAGTGCATTAAGATACTTACTTCAGGATCAGAGCAAGTTATGTGATGTTGTGCAATATTTATTTATTTATTCATAACAAACGCATAGAAAAATTCGAATCGAGACTCGATCGGTAGCTCAGTTGGTAGAGTGGTTGCCCTAAATTGCTGACATAGATACGAGTACTTTCTGATCGAAGGAATTTTTCTTTGTCTTCGATCTTATTGTTTATTTTTGAATCGGTTTTTGGCAGTTTTCCAAAAATATTCCTTTTGGAGTACGTCTCTTTATATTGAAGATACATTATCTGTACATATATTTTATCATTTTCAGATGGCAAGATACAGGCGTGTGGAATAAGTTGAACGAGCTAAAGAACGTGTTTATGGAAAGCAGAAATGCTCGTGATCATAATGAAGTCATGGAGGTAATAAATGATGTAATAAATGAGTCGATCTATCGACGTGACTATGACTTACATGTTTAGTCATAAGTACTGTAAGTGTAAGTTGTGCAAAATAAATAAATAAATTATTATTTTAGTTGTACTTCCAGATTCTAAATATAGTCTGAAAAAATTAAATACTCTCCCGTCCCGTCACTTAATATTATAAAAAAAAGACATGCATCAAAAGTCTAGGGGTCAAAGACGTTTTTGCTAATTACCGAAAATCAGATATTTTAATGAACTTTTTAACACCAATGGATTTTTTTGGTCAATTTCATTTTCAAATTCAAATTATAGAAATAAGCTACACGCCTCTCCATAACAGTTGCAGTGCCACTCAGAGCTTTAAATCGCAAAGACCTTATGGGCACTGCCACTGAGACAAAGTTGACAAGACTCTTGTGCGTGTAATTTCACCAGAGTAGTTGTGCTTGCTTGTGAAATAAATATTGTATTTTGAGTTTAATTATTAATACAAAAATCGAACACAAAGAAAAATTCCCTCGATTTGACAGGACTCGAATCTGCGTCTGTGCCTTATCAGGGCAACCACTCTACCGACTGAGCTATAGATCGACTCAGCAGACCTTTTCCTATGCGTTTGTTACAGATCTTTGTTTTTTGGTTTTAACGGATTTTTGTCGTAGCGCCATTTATGAGAAATCTATGAAAGTTTTTCATCACTTTTGAGTTTCATATTTTGGTGTTTTCAGGATTATTACGAGACCGTGTCTTCGAACAAAGGGGCGCTTCTGTTCGCGGTGTATCGCGGCAAAGTTTCTGAAGGTATGGACTTCAAGGACCATCAAGCTCGGGCTGTTATAACGGTAAATGATACCCCAATGATAGCTACTATTATCACTTATAGGTCCGTGTATCGGAGTCACAGTTTAACTGCCTCAGTGGCCGAACGGTTACCATGCCGGACTGTCACGCACGGTACCGGGTTCGATTCCCGGGCCGGAAGAAATATTTGTATGGCCTCCTTTTATTTCTTTCATGAGTTTGGGTGTAATTTATGGTTGTCTATGTGTGTGTTCATGGCATCCGCGATACGGAGTCTTCCTAGTTCGGGGCTATGAGTGTGTTATTATTATTATTAAAAAAAGAGAGTCCCGTATGCCTATAATTTCACCAGCACACTTACCCTTCAAAACCGGAACACAGTAATGCTGTCATTACTGCTTGGCGGCAGAAATAGAGAAGGTAGCAATAATACCCTGCACGAACTCTTTCACAAGAAGCTCTACTGCTACTAAATGAAAAATTACTTTTTTTATTTTATTTAAAAATGTACAATACCAGGACGTAAATATTACACATCGAGCTTTACAAAACGACTGTACGACATAATCGGTTATCTGCGGATTTGTAGAGCGTCGGCTCGGTATGTGTGACAGAGACGACGCTCAACAAATAATCGATATCAAATGATATCAGGCGATCGTCTTTTTCTAACACTCGATGTGTAATGTATACGGCGCAGTATTGTACATTCATAAGTTGAGATATTTTTTTAGGTGGGCATTCCTTACCCGAACATGTTTGACCCTGCGGTAAAGGAGAAGATGAACTACAACGACAAATTCGAAAAGGTCAAAAAACTTCTACGAAGTCAAGAATGGCTTCGAGTACAAGCTTACAGGTGAATGTAATACTTGTTTACTATCTGAAGTAATTCCTTTTTTAACCGACTTCAAAAAAGTTTTTTTTGTTATGTATGTTACGTGATAACTCGTTTAAAATTTGTGAACCGATTTTGATGATTCTTTTTTTGTTGGAAAAAGGGTACCTCAGTAGTCATAATAATAATAATAAACCAGCTAATAAGCTGAGAAGAATAAATTATTATTTATAATAATAACTTTATTCACTCACACAAAGGCACTGGTAATAATAATAATAAACATTATTAGCAAAAAAACAAAAAGAAGAAAAAACAAAGAGAAGAAAGTGTATCTGTGTGTGCCTGTGTGCTTGCGTGCGTGCGTGCGTGTGTGCGTGTGTGTGATTCCGTAGAATCGTAGTCCAAAATGATCAACCAATTAATTATATAGCAGTTTTTTGCATTCAAATTAGTGGTCCCATTTAAATTTTGAGCAAAATATTCCACCTCTAAGGGTGGCAAACTAGGGGATGAATCCTGTTTCGTGCACTTTCCGGTAACTGATTTCAATAAAACTTGGCTAATAAATGCAATTCCTCGAACTTTTGAGGTCGATTTTTTTAGTACTCTGTACTGAGATTATTATTTACTATTCCATCCTTACTATTTGATTGTTCTAATGATACTTGATGCAGGAGGTAAGCCGTGTACTATTTTGACTTTTAAAGAATAGTGGCCCAAGCCAAAATTGCCGATTTTTATTTATTAAACAGAAAAGATGGGCAGTAGGTTAAAACCCAATCAACCTGTGCCGGGTTTTAATCCATTTCTGCCCAAACTCGTGGGCAGAAACAGCGTATACGTAATTTGGCATAATTCCGTACTTATTACAAATTTCGATATAAAAAAAACCTTAATTTATACGAAAAACAGGCATGTCCACACAATACCCACCTTGCAATCCTATGGGTTCTCTCTTTACACTACATTACTGTTCGATTTTGTGAAAATCGATTCAAGTACATACGATCTAACGATTATTGTATCGATTTATTTCAATGCAATTTTCAAGTGAATCAATTCAATAGAAAGGGCAAATCGAATCGTCTAGATCACAATTCTCATATTACAATTTTACTTTTAAATATTTTTTGCCCTCGATTTCGCTCGTTAATGGGTTTTAAACCGATTTAAACCCGACGTTAACAGTGCGCCAGGTTAAACCCCAGGCGCTTCCCATCTCTTGCTACACCAATTGCCTGGTCTCAAACTAGGGAATCCCCTGTACTATAGCATAAGTACCATAGCAACGGAATTCACTCTGAGGCACTACCCAAAAAAGATACATCAGAACCAATTTAGCAAAAAATTCATTTCCCTCATTGGTCCTACCGGTAATCGAACCCGGGACCTCTATATCCAATGCCCGCAATGCAAATCGTTGGGCCACCGAGGTCGTTAGTTTATTGCGGATAAGAATTTATATTATTATTTATAAATAATATATTAATATTATTTTGAAATATATATTTCAGAGCACTGAACCAAGCCGTTGGCCGATGCGTGCGGCACTGCGGCGATTGGGGTGCCGTGCTTCTCATAGATTCGCGTTTCCGCGAACCCTTCTATACCGAACACCTTTCCAAGTGGGTGAAGAACTTTGTAAGTATCCTACGACACTACACCTATCTTGTATGTCACGGGTAGAGAGAGATATTTCTAAAACAGGGCAGGACTTGAAAAATACAGGCCTCTCCAAAAATTAAATAATATCATTTTTTTATGTTACGGTCATGTGCTACGCCGCCACATGATTGCAAAGTTCAGGTTACCCAGAAAAAGGACATGCAATCGAATAAATGGACAGGCCTCTTCAATAGATTGTTCAGTGTTTCCAAAAAAAGGATAATTGTCTCTAAAAACTTCAAGACTCTCCGAATAAAGACAAGATACTCGAGAAAGGAAATGGACAGGAATCTTAAAAAAAACAATCACCGAAAAGCGACAAACTCGGCTTTAACCTTGAAATATTTATTTTATTTGATACTTACATTTTTTGCTGTTTAAGGCAACAAGACCACCCATACTAACACCAGCACCATTACAGTTATTTATCTTCTTAAATTGAAGAGGCCTTGTCGGTACAGTAAATGCAGCCATTTCTTTTACTTGATCGAGATAACTTGTCTTCAATATTCTCTTTCACGCAGTTTTCCTTGTGTTACGTTATAATTATTTTTAAATTAATGTATACACTCCCGGACACATAATTCGAGCCACCATGCATTTTTAGTATTAAACACCCTAAGCCATTGACCTACAAAAAGGTCAATGTCTTACACTTAAACCATGTTTAATTGATTAAAAACTATTATCCAAATTCGCAACTGATATACTAAACATCATTTCCATAACTTTTTTGTAATATACGAGTATCTTAGCCCTTTAAGAATAAAAATGCATCATGCCTCGAGTTATCTGTCGGGGAGTGTATATACTCCACACAAACTTGTTTTGTGTTCTATATCATAATGACATTTCCTGAACAGCTGGGAAACAACCACCACACGTTCGACAGTCTTGTGAACAATCCGAACAGCCTCGAGTCGTTCATGCAGACCATGACCATAAGAGAGAATGAAGGGGAAGTATAAATATCAACACACACTGATCGACTATCAGCATTTTACTTCGTAAGACACTTGCGCCACGTAGCGTCTATTTAAGATTATGAAATTGGGTCCTGACATATCAGGAAAGTCGTTGCAGTTTGTCATAATAAAACATTAAGAAACCAGGAACGCTCGAGTTACACGACGGCCTCGGTGGCCTAGTAGAACCAATATGAAAAATGAACTTTTCTAAATTGGTTCTGATTTGGATGTTCTGGGAAGTGTCCCAGAGTGAATTCCCTTACACTGGTACTCTTAATAAAGGGAATTGGTGTGGTTATCTGGCAGATATTATAACGTAAACTTGATTAGAATGACGACAGGTCGACAAAATTAGCACGGCGTAACTTTGTATAGTCTGTCTTTTTTGAAGAAGGAATAAAATGACAGTTAAGTACGCAAGCAGCTAGTGATTGCCGTCGATAAATATTCAATCGACTATCGACTGAATGTTGGTCACGCTTATGCAATAAATAGCCGAACTTGTTATATTATATCATCATCGGCCCGTCCGCCCGTACTATATATATCATTATTCGTCCAAGTCCTGGGCACAGGTTATTTGAATTGTCGATTTTTGTATATTCGTACATGCATTTGTCAGAACTATGTCTATTAAAAATTCAAAGATGAGACATATTTTCAAGTTTTTCATTTTAATTCAATATAGACAATCGAATCCGCCTGTTCTTATTAAAATGTATATGAATGAAAATTGATTTCAATACTAGTTAGCCAACTGTCAAAACTATCGACAACTACACGACTATTTAAAATTTTATGAAAACTGGCAACCCTGCAAGTGTCATTTTACTCCGTCTTCAAAAAAGAGAGACTACAGTAGCCTACAAATTACATTTTTTATACACACGACAAAACAATAAATGTTTTACATACCTACGTTAGAGACCGTGAAAGACCCAGAGCGAGATAACATAGAAATTGGACGCGTATATGAGCCTGTAGCGGCGTTAAATCGCGAAGAGTGGAAAAGGGGAATTAACTGGTCTTGATACTTTTAATGATTCTTTCTATAAATTTAAATGTAAATTGCGTGTTCGTAGGAGCTGTAGAACTTAATAATTTATTTTCATTATTATTTCTTTTATCTTTCACAAAATATTTAATTAATATAATTGCACTGTCATATTTACATCAATCAACTATTTATTCCGATCTTATAATCAATTATTTACCTTAAATTTTAGTACATTAATGAATGATTTTTATTTTATTATTATTTTTGTATCTGGGTATATATTGTGTGATGTGGATACCTGTAATTGGCTTACACATAAGAACTGTGCCTTACGAAATGTTGTGTTTTAGTCTTATTTTTTCTATGTAATCTATTGGTGTTCCAAATGAATAAATAAATAAAGAGAAGGGAGGCCTTTGCCCTGCAGTGGGATAGTAATGGCTGAAAAATGAAAATTAAAAAAGTCGCGTTGTCTCTCATTAACATACGATCATTGAAATCCAAGAATCCGTGACAAATCACTTGACAAGATCAATACACTAAGATATTAATTTTTAATGTTTATTTTCGCAACTTCACACGAAGTTAAAAATTAATATCGTTTCTCTGGTACTTGTACACGGAATTCCACCAGGTAATTAAGTGTCATCATTGTATTATTTTATCCTGCGACCACAAATGACTCAAAATTTATTTTAAGCAATCAAATTATAACTATACTGAGTGCTTCTAGAAAGTGTTGCGTTTGTTTTGTCGACCAAGTTTCTTCTTCTCTGTCTTTTGGTCTTTAAAAAGAATTATAAAGGGGATACAGCGGACAATTTCGAAACGAAAGTGACGCATCAAGCCGGAGGAATTAATCAGGAGATTATTTTTTTGTATTTACCACTTACCACTATAATTTTGTAAGTGTAATTAATTATATTGTTAAAAAGACTTTAGAGGAATTTACACTGTTTAGTCAAAATTATGATGTGAATATGTGATATTTCTTAAAATATTAGAAACGCTACCAAAAATACCGACAATATAAATGTGGAGCTGCTGCTTCAGAAGTTAAGGTAGAAACACGAATGAAGGTCGTTTTCATGTGCACTTGTAAACTGACAAAAAGTTGCCTTTATCATTTTAGATTCGACCTGCGCGTACAATATTTAATATGAAAAATATAGTTATATGTTACGTCTCTAGTTCATTATTAAAAAAATTGTATTTACAGGGTGTTCCAAACATAACACGCCAGAGCGACACTGTGGGTAGGTGAGCTATATACTTTCCAGAAAAAAATATTTTGACCCTAGTAAAAGTCTTTTAGTTTTCGAGATATATGCCCTTTTTTATTTTTTTGCAAAAACTATACTCTTTGTTGGGTTTTATGCTATTATTGCCATGGTTAGCTCCAGATGGTTGTTATTTTTATTTTTCGAGTATTCTGAATAGTTTTTTCAGGTACAGCAACTAATATTTTACTGAGAAATATCATAAACTATGAAAAAAGTGATTAATTTGGTATACTTGTAAAAAGTTAAACGTTAACTTTGAATAGCTAGTGTGAAAAAAAATTGTATGAAACTGAATTTATAAACGATCTTAAAAACTACTCCACTTAATGCAGAATCAGGAATTGTACAATACTATTGAAATGTTTGACAAGAACTTAGTCATTTAATTTTTTTTCAACATCAACACCCTACTAGCCGAATTGGTTTCTAAACAAAAATTGTGTTTAATTATTGAGCTTTATGACTAACTACTCTGTCGCTAGGCCCCAGGTAGTAAAAAATGAGCGAGAGGTTACCCTTATTTGTTATCTCTCTCTTACGTCGGTATCGGTCGCCAGGTGGGATCGGGTCGGGTTGGGCCCGTAGTACATACCTTTGTGTTTTGTGCTACGTACACATTTTTCGTTTTATCGCTGCTTCCGTTTCTACACTTTCGACGACTTGGCATCACTTTGGACTTTGATTTGATAACGATCGGAAAAGTTTTTTTAGTAATCATATCAACAAGTTGGCATTACTTTGGACCCTGATTTGCTTACTATTTGGACCGTGTTGTTTGTGTGTGATCGACGGCTGCGCCTCCGGATACTGCTTTTATACAGTTAAAATGGCAGATCAACAGAGTATCGTTGGAGCAAACCCCGAATTCACTCATAGTGATTACGCTGACATGTACCTAATTTACGGCGAAACTAGACGTGTTTCTGCTCGCGGCATCGTATCGTTAAATGCAAGATTAACAGCAAGATTGTATGCGGTAAGATTTCCTAACCGTAGGCCACCGACCCATGAGACCATAATAAGAGTTGATGCTGCATACAGAGAGGGGTAGGAACCCTGGCCATCGTGGTGGAGGCAGACCTCGTACCGTCGCAGACGAAATAGTTTTGCAGGAAGTGTCAAGAGATCCGTCCACTTCAGTTCGCCTGATAGAAAGACGGACTGGCATTTCAAAGTCTACGGCACAGCGAATAATAAAAAGGCACCGATACCACCCATACCATATTCAGAGAGTTCAAACTTTACTGCCGAGCGATTACGCTAAACGCGTACAGTTTTGTCAACAAATGCGTCAAAAGCACAGTGAAGACCCCAACTTTTTTAATACGATTTTGTGGAGTGATGAATCAGCATGTCGCAGAGATGGCTATGTAAACCTCCACAATATCCATAGCTGGCAGTTAGAGAACCCGCACGAGAGAAGAGAAGATCGGTCCCAACACCAGTTTAAAATTAATTTATGGACCGGAATTTTCAATGGGGAAATATTTGGTCCAGTTGAACTGCCTCCGACTCTAAATGGCTCTTATTTAGAGTTTTTACAAAACCATTTGCCAAACCTTCTCGAAGATGTGCCAATAGCATTACTAAGAAGAATGTGGTTTCAAAATGATGGGTGTCCAGCCCACTACGCTCGCGACGTCCGAACGCACCTCGACCAGACTTTCCCACGAAGATGGATTGGCCGATTGGGACCAATTTTGTGGCCACCGAGATCACCTGATCTGAACCCCCTCGACTTCTTGTATTGGGGGTGCTTAAAAGATAAAGTTTACTCCAAAGCTATCACTACAGAAACCGAACTACGACGACGAGTCTATGAAGCAGCTCGAGAAATTTCTCAGAGTTTGAGGCGTCTGAGAAGCTCATTCGTCAAAAGATGTCGCATGTGCATTAGAGTCAGACGGAGGCAGTTTGAACACTTGCTATAATATCTAATAAAAATTAAATTATTTAAATTTTATTGTTTTATTTTCCATTAAGTAAAAACGGCGACAAATCAAGCGACACACAAAGGCACTCTACCACGATATTAGTAGCTAAATCCGCATGCTTTTGGGAAGTTTGATTTGTCACAGTTTGTTTGTACCAGTTCAGAGAGAGAAAGAAAAGCCTAGTAACTATCTCACTCCTTTATTACGAATACAACGTAGGAAAATGATTGATGCGCCGTTACCTAGCGCTTAGCAATTAATTCATTTAAAAGTTTAAATTTAATTTTGTTTAGAAACTGATTAGGCTGGTAGGGTGTTATGACGAAAAATAAATTAAATGACTATGTTCTTATGAAAGATCTCAATAATATTGTACCATTCCTGATTCTGGATTAAGTGGAGCAATTTTTAAGATCATTTGCAAATTCAGTTTCATACATTTTTTTTTTCACACTAGCTATTCAAAGTTAACGTTTAACTTTTTACAAGGGTACGAGGTATACCAAATTAATAACTTTTTTCACATTTTATGACATTTGTCAGATAAAATATTAGTTGCAGTACCTGGAAAAACTATTCAGGTTACCTGAAAAATAAAAACAACTACCATCTGGAGTTAACCCTGGCAATAGTAGCAAAAAACTCAACAAAAAGTAGAGTTATTCCAAAAAAAAAAAGTGCAAATATCTCGAAAACTAAAAGACTTTTACTAAGGTCAAATTATTTTTTTCTGGTAGGTATATAGCTCACCTACCCACATTGTCGCTCTGGCGTGTTATTTTTGGGACACCCTGCATAAATTTTGCCTTTTACTAACGCTATGAAATTTTTAAAATTTGACTGCTAATCTACGAATCGTGATTTAGTCGGTATTTGTCGCAAAATAGTAGATTTTACTGTTCACGCAGAGAAATAAGCTTATTTCCATGTTATCATTCTTCAAAATGTTTAAATATAGTACCTAGCTGAAATATAATTGACTCCAGAAATAATGGTGTCTTAATGGGTTTTAGTCATAAAAAAAACAAAATTAGGCGCTCCTTTGTTAATATAAAAATATTTATTTTCATAAGGTATAAGGGCCTTCAAATAAGACGTTTAT